GTACAAAATAAGTGTAGATTGCAAAACCATTGGTGCAAGGTATATTTGTGGGGTCGATATTACAATTGACAGTGAATCGTGTATCATTGTGCATATTGTCTTCTGCCTACATTCATTCTAGAGTAAAGCTCACCAGCGGCCGAGCGGTAAAGTCGCTGAACACTGGTAGTTCGGTCCGAGGTTCGAATCCCGCGAACGGGCTGGCTGCATGGGCGTTTTCATGGTTTTCCCCATGTGTAACGTGTATACGAGCCAGTTTCCCTTAGAAAGTCCTCCACGAAGGCATCCCTCCTCTTAGGCAGATAGTCCCCGAGGCTTTGCCATAATCACACACACACACATTCTAGAGTAAATGCATCAGATTTAAAAATTTATTCCTTTGCTCACAATATACAGGAACAAGATACAGGGTGCGTAATAAACGTAGTTAGCCTAAAAATGAGTCAAAAGATTTTCGAATTTTATTTTATCATGCGATCAAATTCATCCTTTGTACAAATGCCTTGTTTATAAAAATATATGACAGTAAATGATAGAGTATTAAACTAGTAAAATCGAAACATCTGTGTGTCAACTGTTTAGGAAATCAATAAAGTGATTGATTGCAGAAATTAAATTCTCTTGCGGTATTTGTAAAAAGAAACATTATGTGACTCACCATTTCTCTCGCGAACAAAAACAAAGAAGTAGTTTCTCAGGAGTTGAATCATAATAATAATAAAAAAATCATTCCCCTTTGGACGCTTCGGCTTCATACTTTGAACCTTTGTAAGCTAAGGCCAGTACTGATTAACATTTATTTTCTACAGTGTGCAATCTAGCGAACGCATTGAAAGCTGTCTTATTCAGCAGTTTTGTTTGTTTGATTAAAAATGTATCTGGTAACTTTCAAAGTTAGAGGTTTTTAGATTGTCGGTGCCAATTCAAGTTTTATGAGCAAAAGGTTAGTAGATTTGCTTCAATTAACGGGAGGAAAGACTAACATTTTGTATAAGGAATAAATAATTTGCCTTTGAATATAAAATCTAGAGTTAGTGCAACTATTCTAAATAGAAACAAGAGTTTTGATTCAAATTTAATTTTTTTGGTAGTTCTTAAAATTGCAGAATATACTCACTCTTGAAAGCCTCTTGAAACCCTCTTAAGCCTCTTGAAATAATTGTTTCATCTTTAGATAACATCAGTTTAGCAGATGAAAACTTTTTGGAGCCAGGTCTAGTCGAATATCTTGTAGGTGCGGAACAATAAGCTTTTTAGCGCCAGGTCAAATTTTCCTTCAGGATTCAAATTTAAGGTTGCAAAATAGCGTTTTCGACTATACAGTGGGTGATCGGTTAACGAAGAGCTCGGACTGCGAACAAATCGGACATCGAACACTTTCACGAAAGATTTTTGTGTTCGGACAACGAACACATATTCGGATATCGAACTAAAACGAACTCTAGCGAACACTTCTCGGCTCTCGGAGCATAATGTACAAGGTTGCCAAACCCAACGGACCAAAAACAGTTTTTCATCTCTCTTGAATTATGTTGCTTGCCTGTCAAACTTCAAAGTTCTATATTGGAAAAAAAATATTTCCTATACAATATTTATAGGAAAGCAGACCATCATAATCAAAACCGAAAAGGATGTCATTTTGAGCGCCTCCCCCCTCGTTCATTCACCGTCCCATACGTAGTCTTGAATGACGAATTCCATCCTTTTCTCTCACGGTAAAACAATATGCTTCTCGTTTCCCTCCCAGTTTCTTCTATTCATTTATTCATATCGCTGATCCAGCAAATTTATAGTAGCCAAACGGGAGAATAGTTTACTTAGCATACTACAACATATCAGTTGCCTCAGAAAATGAAAAATTACTTCCGGAAAATCCTGAAAAAGAGAGAAAAGAAATCGACATTGGACATGTTCTTTAACGCGCCCCATAAACAAAAAACTGAAAAGGACTGATTAATATGCAAAACTATATGTATGTAATTTTTTTAATAAACTTACTGAGAAATTTTAATCCTTTTCTTAATTTAACTTTTAGGGTCTCCAGAACAAATTAATCAATTTCACACACACACACACACACAACAAAAAAAAAAAAAAAAAAAAAAAAAAAAAATTCAATGGTAAATTGATGAACGATTAACGAACAATTCGGATAACGAACATAATCTTGTAACAGATTATGTTAACCGATCACTTACTCTTTTGTAAGTGGGACTTTTCCTGCTAATGAGGAAAGTAAATTACTTTGTGGGCTTATTACAGATAACATAGAAAGAGCAGTAAATGAATTTTGGAAAATCGAAAACGCAGAAAAGGGTCTGAGATTTCTCAGACTAAAGAAGCAGAAATTTGTAAACATCAATTTCTCAAAAACTGTTCTAGGACTGAAATCGGAAAATATGCAGTAAAAATGCTATTAAAGGAAGACCTATCGTGTATTAGTGAATCTAAAGAAAATGCTGTGAAATGTTTAAATTCTCCGTGGAATCGCTCAGATAAAGAACCTAAATTTTGTGAACTTTAAAGCTTTCTTGAAAGAGTATTTAAGTATGGGGTTATATGGAAGAAATAATTGAATCTGAAGAACCAGATGTAGAATTTTATTTAAAGAGGAAATGCAAGATCCATTAAAGGTGTATAATTATGCACTGTAACGTATGTCACAACTAGGACGCCTTTTTTTCACAACAAGATCAGTGTAGCAGTTAGCCAAAGATGAGGGAAATGACTTACATTATCACCTTCTGTGTTGTTACAAGATGTCTACATGGATGACGTCCTAACAGGAGCTAATAGTTTAATTCCAGCTAAGGACCTTCAGCAACAGTTTATATCTTTGTTAGGTAGAGGAGGCATGGAGCTTCACAAATGGTGATCGAATAATCAGTTTCTTATGTGTAATGGGGTTACAGAATCAGATTATTCATTCACTAATGACACTAAAACTTAGGTAGGAAATCACTACCGGATTGTATTGGGTTTAATTTGATAGTAGTCCAAAGTAAAGTACATACCAAGGGAGCTATGCTATCTCAAATAGCAAGAATATTTGATCTCTTAGGTCTTGATAGGTCCAGTCATTACAAAGGCTAAAGCGTGTTTACAAAAATTATGATTGTTAAAATTAAATTGGTGTGGCATTCTTCCATTAAAAGAAAATGCTGAGTGGAAAAGTTGTAAATCTTATCAGTTTCCCGAGCTGGGTTCTTAATGGACAGTCTGTGAGTATGGATATGCTGACGCCTCGGAAGTAGCATATGGAGCTATCATCTGTGTAACATTTCTATTAATTCTTGTGGTGACTCTGAAGTTAAATTTCTCATTAGTAAATCCAGAGTGGCGCTACTAAAGTGCATTTGTATACCGCGTCTCGAACTCTGTGCTGCTGTACTATTAGTTAAATTGATGAAGAGAGTCTTAAGTGCACTAAACCTAAAGGTTTCTAAAAGCTTTTTCTGCACAGATAGCACAATTGTACTGGCATGGTTAAGAAAGGAGTGTAAAGATTTCAAAACTTTTGTTGCTAATCGAAAATCGATCATTCAAAATTTATCTGTGGTTGAACAATGGCATCACGTCCTTTCTAACTAGAGCCCTACGAATCTCATATCAAGGAGTGCTGATACGGTCAAACTTCAACTGTGCGAACTGTGGTGGTGTGGTCCCTTATTTCTGCCATAGTTCTGTGATGACAGAGTGCCAAGATGATATGTTTGTTCTTGAAATTGAGGATCTGTTTCTTCGTGAATTAAAACCACCAGTAGTAAATGAAATATGTGCATTTATTAACATTTCTGAGCTCTTGAATGTCATCAGTAATTGTTCATCTTACAACAAATTGCTACGAGTAGTGGCTTGGTGCAAGAGATTTTCGCATAAAACCAGGCATTCATCGCATGCTACGCGCGGAACGCTGACAACCAGTGAACTTTCTGATGCTTTGTAGAGACATTAGGTATTTTTCGAAACAGAATAGATGAAAAATGAGCAACGTCTTCGCCGGGAATCGAACCACGGACCTTTGGAAATTGCTCCTATTGTGCAGACCACTACACTACGAAGGCAAGCTAAGAAGGCGGGAGAAATACCTTATATACTACCCCTTTTAAAGGGCAACTGGGGTTTTTAGGGGACCCAATCGCCAAATCCTGGGTGTGGACAATCATCATCCACTACCCTATTAGTTCGGGCGCCACTGTAGAGTCATTAGGTTATTTCGGAAGCAGGATACCTTGAGAAATGAGAAATGCCCTCGCCGGGAATCGAACCATGGACCTCTGCACCCTGGGATTACGCGCCCAGCGTGCAGACCACCACACAGCGAAGACATGCTAAGAAGGCGGGTGAAATACCTAATAAGGTATCCATAAAAGAATTTCCTTTACGTTAGCTTATAAAATATCTTATTCAAAATATTTCGTTATATGTATTGATGATTGACTAAGCAGTATCAAATTATCATTCGAAGGAGAATTGTTAATACGGATAGATTAATTCGCCTAAGAACAGGTCACTGCAATTAATTCCTGACACATACAATTTATTACTTCTGTAGTAATTTATGGATTATTCTTCCTAAAACGTAATAATCGGACAGCATTTACTTACTGTTTCAGTTTCTATAGAACAAATTGAAGCATGAATGTGAGGTTTTTGTAAAATCTCTCGTATGAATTAAAACTGTTTTCATTATTGAGGTAATACGATAATGTATAATGTGAGAGAATTTGAGGAAGAAAAGTTTAACTTATAACATATACATAAATCGTTGCTTACCCAGCAAATGGAGGTAACTGATCTGCTTCTCATTCGAAAATTATACAAATCCTTTTTAAAGTCAAAAATAGAATTCTTAAATAAGTTTTTGATATTTTTTAGGAAAAAGGACTGTCTGGTAAATCTGTAACTGAAACGAATTTTCAGCTCAGTAAATCTGTAAGCTAAAGAATTTTAGAAAGATATAGAAAAGGAAGTTATATTTGAAATAAAACAAATTAACGTCAATAATTCAATAATTTATTTTACATACCATTTTATGGTTTCCTTTATGCACCATTGTATATGGTTTCAATTAAAAACAAGTCATTAGAGAATATTATACATATTAACCGTCTGTGAAAATGAATGAATAATATGATAAATAATACAAGCAATTTGGCCCATAATCAAAGATTGAAGACAATATACAATTCAATATATATTGCTTATTCTTCCTGGTTGTATTTAAAAGGAAATAAATCCTCATAGAAAAAACAATATTTTTCATCTACGAGGACATATCCTATAAAAAGAAATCATTATGTTCATCATCGAGGTGTTCTCTGCTGAGCAGATGTTTCAGATGGTCGTACTGCTTTTGACTGCGTCGGAATTTTAGTTTTTCAAGATTTTCATAGAGTTTTTCTTTGCTAATACTTAGTTCTTTAAGCAGGCTATCTCTTTGCTCATTATTCAAACTCTTGAGCTCCTCCAGAATGTCCTTGTGTTTCTCAAGATCACCTAGCCCGAAACTACTAAAATCTTCGTTTTCGTCAGAATAAGCGTTTAGTCCATAATTATTGCGATAATGAGGGACGTGGAAATTGTAACCTCCTTCTTGTTCGTCTGACACGTGAGGATAATTATTTTGCTTTATAATAGATCTGTAATTATAGCTCTTTGATGGCGAATTGTAGCTGAAGCCACTCAAAGGTGAGTAGTTTAGAGATGAGAGGGGCTGTTGGTACTCACCAATATGATGAATGCGAACAGGCAAAATTACTTTCTGTACTTGGGGAATTTCTTCAGGAAATTCAATGTGTTGCTGATGGGGTTCGAAATGAGCCGAGTGTTCATATTGATGATTGTACTGTGGATCTGCCTCAACCTTCACATGTGCTGGATCTTGGTTTGCCGTACCCGGTTCGTTGGTCTTGACTGTAGCGCGAAAGCCGTGCTTATCAGCAACGTAATGCACTTCTCTATACAGCCCTTTATCATCAGTGTACCCGTAACTTCCTTTCACTGTCCCATGTCCATCACTTTCTTCGTGGCGGCTTTGAGTTGCTTCTTTATCTTTCACTTGATAGCCATAACGATAAGGTTGGGGTTGGCTGTGCTACAGAAAAAAATCATCATAACATTAAATTGCATTTCATATACTTCAAAAGTATAAACATATGTATTCAATACTTTAACAAAATGCGCACTATGTTAAATGTAAGTTTGGCGTTAGATTATAAAGAAGTAAAATTTTTTTGATTTGCATCTAATGTTATTTTGTGTTCAAGAACGCACGCGGTACAGTGTTCCTTACATAGAAAGCTACTCAGCACCGAAACCGAAATGCCCTCCCTTGATATTTTAATTTATGCTTGTGTACTGTGCTTTCATACACTGCAGCTTCATTTGCCTTTAAAAATTTATTTGAGTCATCAGATTAATTTCGAAGCAGGAAACATAAAAAATCAGCCACACCTTTGCCAGGATTCGAACTCCGAACCTTCCGATCACCAGCTGGACGAGCTTCCAGTTACATCACAAAAGCATGCGATTAGGAGAGAAAATTCCTTACATTCTTTCCGATTTAAAGGGCTACAGGGAAAGATGAGACCTAGTTTCCAAATCCAAGGTAGATGAATTTTCTTCTACCACATCTCTGCACGAGCGCCGCTTGCTATAGAGTCATTAAATTAATTTCGGTTTAGGAAATAGGAAAATCAGCCATGCCCTCGCTAGGATTCAACCTATTGATCTCTAAGCTGTTAGCCGGACATGCTTCCAACTACACCGAGAAGGCACGCGATGAGGAAAGAGAAAATTCCTCACATTATTATTCGAATTCAAAAGCATAAAAATAATAAGATACACTATTTAGCAAAGTGCTACAAATTGATATTTTAAAATTTTGTTAGATGTTCCGCATAAATATTTTAATGCACTTCAAGGAATAAAAATATTGAATAGAACAAGGTATCTGGTTTAGTTTTTAATTCATTCTTAGCTTTTTAATAAAATTAAAAATTTTAAAATGCATTCGATTATTTCATCATATTTATTTGGCATTCGGATCTATCCAAAGCATTTGAGGAAGTACTATAACCTGTACTATAACTTCTCCTTTCCAATTGTTCACCACAATGTAAATTAAGTTAAAATGTAGTTAAGCTGAGTTTTTTGGTCAATTAGACAGAGCGTGTTTCTGCCTCCCAAAGCCACGTTGCGCAGTTCGTTAGTTTCCCTTAGAACGTCTTTTACGAAGGCATCCCTTCCCTTACATACATAGCCCTCGAGTACGTTGCCATAATTAAGTAAACCAAACCTTTGTAATTTCTTTAGACATAGCGATATTTCGCATTACGTCTATTAGGAGTCTGAAACTAGTTTATGCTCCCAAAGCAAGCCAAACTCTACAAACTGTAAATTGTGCCCCTTTTTAGTTAAGGAAATTGCTTGCATTAGCAACAGCGACATCTGTTTCCGCAGGTATATCTTATAATAGTGAAAGGTTGGACATTTTAATTGAATATATTCCAGCGTGAATGTTAAGCATAAATAAATACATACGCTTACATATAAAACATAGCAATTAAACTTAACAATTTAAAGCAAATTAAAACTTATTCAGTTCTCCACAAAATAATTTTGATGCTTCCCCTCTCTAGAAATCTTATTCGGTAGATTCTAAAATTTAAAACGTCAAAATTCATTCGAAAGAATCTGCATTTATTCTGAAATAGGGAGTTTTAAATCAATTATTTACAAAAGGAAAATCACATTCAAAAATTTATTATAAAATGAGCAATAGCCTCTTTTAATATATTGCTTGTTAATGTCTAATGACATTTCAAAGAGTACTTTTTTGGGTCGTCTGAATGGGACGAACTTAACACTTTTCTGTAAAATGGTTCTTGTTTGCGAGATTTTGCTTACTACTTTCAGGCGATAATTAAGATAAACATATGAGTGGAACTTTGATTATCCGATTTCCGATTAACCGTGTTTTCAGAGCTAAACCTCTAATTTTAATATACCGTTTTCCTTATAATTCTTCTTCTTCTTATTATATTATTTCCTTATTCCTTATAAGATCTTCCCTGCAATCTTGTATGAACCGAGTCGAAAGTGCAACGAAATTCTCCATATAAATAGATCTGAATGCCAGCGTAATAGGGCTTTTGTAAACCAGAATAAGAAATAACATACTTGTGTATGAGTGTTAGTTCGGCTGTGTAAGGACATGGTTAAGAAAGTTTAATATTACACCCTGCATTAAAAATGAATTAATGATATTACCTTTTATTATTTAATTTTTAATTTCATTGAGAGAGATACCGTCATATATACATATATATTTTGTTATAAAAGCCATTTTTGTACCTACATACGAAACCTAGCCAGGTAAAAGCTGTGCTATTAGAAATATAATTTAATTGTTAATGAAGAATGTTAAATATATTGCACAGAAATACTTTTTTTTTCATGAATTAAGGATAAAAAATTCAATATGATAATAAGCAGGGAAAGTAGTCAGCATTACAATGACTCCAGCTCAGCCACCCAAACACAAACGGTTGGGTAAATATTGCGATTTCACACTGTTTAAGATCTTTAATTTCTCATCTATGTAGCCTGTTATTTTGCTAGTTTGACCCGCCCTTCGACGGGCAAAGCATGTTTAGGTTAGCATTTTTAATTCCTCTTTCAAATTTAAGATATTAACATTAAAAAGTATTGCTTAGTAACCTGAACTATTTAAAAGAAATATAATAACATGCATTCTGCTAATATAGCTTTCTTTTATTTATAAACATCTAACTATATATATCGTAAACCATTTGTCTAGTATAATTTGTAATATAGCTAGTTAATAACTTTTATAAACTTTGAAATCATTATTATGATTAGCAAAATCTATTCCTAATGCCATATTATGTACTTTAGTGCAGAATAGTCGCTTGCGCGATGTTCAACCACGAGATTTAACTTCTTGCATTCTAGTGGCGACTTTCAGTCCATTATTGCAAATTGAACTATGACTGGGACATGATGCTGAAAGTTGTTTTATTCGTCAATTCATTGTACACTAAGATATGCATCAAATGGTGTACTGTAAAAATGAGAAGGGGAGTTGTTTTATAAGTATCCTTAAAGTGCTTAAGGTGTGAAAGTGGCTCAGAGTGCTTTAGACGAGTAAATTGACGACATATCAGACATTAAAATTGTTTGCTCAAAATCTTAGCTAAAGCTTTTCAATTTTCTGAGGCAGTGTCGGCGCTAGTTACCTCCGATAAAATATACGTATTGTGCATGCAATATTACGTGCCATACGAGTTAAGAATACGAAAATTTATCGTTGAGCTATCAAATGTTTACAAGTTGAATTTCGCTAAAATAATGCTACCTAAACTAAAGTGCTCAGATATTTGTGAAAAACATTATTTAAGAATGAGAGATCTGATTAATTCTTTGTAACTTTGCTAAACAATTTGGTTAAAGCAATAGACTTCCTGCATCTAAATGCATGTTTAATCAGTTTTGGAAAAGCACGCAACTGTTATCTGCCAGCCTACTTTCATGGAAAACATTCTAATAGAAACTGGCTCATATTTACTTGACATGTAGGAAAAACAATAGTACAACTAGCTTGCCTGTGGGGACTCAAATCCTGGTAGGACTGCAAAAAGTAATTTAACATATGAGATAAATGAAACAAATAAAGTGTAATTATTTTGCTTAATTTTATGTTATTTGAATTAATTTTTTTTCATTCAGGGCTTATAAATTTTAACTGTGCAGTATTTCATTATTAGCAAATAAAGAAAATTGATTCAAGAATCTACTTTATAGTGCAATGTTACGTAAAATGCAAAAAAATCTTACAAATGAAATTATGCAAAATGTAACACAACTAATGGTCGCATCTGTAAGCGGTGGACTTCCCGAAATAAAAACCTTCCACCGTATAATGTGGGGTCAGAAAGAAAATGGCAAGTCGCGAGAGGGTGATTTCTTTGAAGAGGATGAAACGTCGCTTTGAGCTTGATTCATAATTTAGCTCCTAATCGTTGCAAGAGATGCAGCAATATTTGAACGCAGAAGGCCATATGCATCCTATGCATGGGGTTGCAAACATCAAAGCCGCAGAAGTGGTAAGACTTTACTAGAAGCTATTTCCAAACAGGCGCTGTCCGATCGCAGAACATATCAGCGCTTGTACAGGTGTAACTCCATGAGGTGGACTTGTTTCGCGGCCAAGGACACGACACAGGAGTTCGAAAACGATAAATTGAACAGAGACAACCCTTGAGGTACTGGAGGACCAGTTTGAATGAAGCACGCGAGCAACAGCTCGTGACCAAGGTGTCAAACATATGATGGTACGGCCTATGATGGTGAAGAAAGGTTACACCCTTACCACTTCTACCGAGTCCATGTCTTAAGTGAACGGATTTTCTGCAATGTGTAACAATTACACATTCGTTCCTGCAACAAAGCGTATTGCATTTACAGTTTCTTCATCTGTACGGAAGAGGCTACGTTTACATATGACGGCATATTTAATATGCACAACAATCTTATGTAGGCTACAGTAAACCGCATGCTACATGTTCGAGATGCTCCAGTAAAGATTCGTGGTAAATGTGTGGGAAGGGATTATTTACGATCATTCAATCGGTCCTTTGCTTTTACCAGACCACCTAGACCCTAGGCGGAGATAAATACCTAATTTTTTTCGGAATTTCCTTAACTGATTTACTATAAAATGCGAGAGCATATTCCAACAATTATGTGGTTCCAGCACGATGGAATGCCGGCTTCTTTACGATTTTGCGAAGCTATCTAGACACGAAGTTCCCGAACAGAGGGTTCGCGGCGGTGAACATGTCTCTTGGTCTTACAGATCTCTCGATCTGTCTTACCTATATTTTTTTCACTAGGAACTGCTAAAAGACCTAGTTTGCGATACGTCCATGGAGTCACCAGAGGACCTTGTCCAGACCAGAGTCGCAACTGCAGGCATTACTGAAATGCCAGGAATCTTCCAATTTGTGCGTAATTCCCTCCGTTGCTGATGTGACGTCTGTATTACAGCTGGTGAAGCTCATTTAATTATTTCTTGTGGAAGCTTTCAATAATAAAGATTCTTTACGCTTTAACTCTACATCTTTATTCTGTTCGCCATTTTCACTTATCAAGCGCCTCCTTGCGGTTGGCCGTTTGCTTTCCGAACCCATATGATACGGTAAAAGTTGTTTGTTTTGAAACATTCTGCCTCTGGTTACAGTTGTGACCATTAGTTTTGTTACATTCTACATATTATTTGAATTCAGGATTACTCTTATTCATATTTCTTTTAGAAATTCTCGTTTCACACAAGCGTAATTATATATCACGTAAGTGTTTACATATCACTTACTTACTCACCAAAAAGAGCAACAGGTGCTTCAAATAATACTAAGATTTCATTGATGTACTCATTCTCTTTCGTACGTTGTATTTTAAAAAATTCAATATGTTGTTCTTTATATCATTAATTTAAATCTTTATATGGTGTTCTCTATAGTTATAATAAAACCATTTTTTTTAATAACTTCTGATAAGCGGGGAGATTTTCCGGAATTACAATTTTTAACCGAAACTGCAAATACCTGTGACTTTTCGTAGGTGCCAATATAATTCCTTGTTATATATTAAATTTTTAAATAGGGAGTTATAGCTGTTATGTACTTTTTAATTTCAATTTAGGCTCCATTAATGAAATGAGGGGACAAGATCACTGAACATTAGTAGTTCTTCTTGTGTTCAAATCCCGTGGAACGGGTTAGCTTTATGGGCATTGTCATGATGTTACCCATTTGTAGAGTGAGTACAAGCCAGTTTGATTTAAAAAGTCCTCAACAGATGTATCATTTTCTTGTCCCTCGTATAATTTGCCTTAAATAAAAAATCAATGGTGTATTTTCCCAATATAATTAAATACAAAGAATACAGATTGACTCTTAAGTTTTACATTATTGAAAGTATGCTATTCAACTATTTTTACAGAGATAAATATTTAATATTTTATTTTAATTTTATTCTTACTTTTTCCTCTATTTCTTCATAGAGGTAGCTTCCCGTAGCTATCCCGCAAAACAAGATGATCAGCAAGGCCTAAAACAATTAAATTATAAGTACATTAAGAATTTAATTTAATTAGAAATTTCTGAAAGTATGTACATTTCATAATACTTACATATTGAGTAGCAATTGAATAAAAACTGCCAGTAATCTTAACATGATAGAAGTGTCTCTCGGTTACAAACATAAACACCTTTCGTTCGTTACTGCATCTTTGACAAAAAATATTAAATTTCTTGTCGTATTTTAACAATCGATTTTGACAAATTTAAAATAAGGTTTAGAATTTAAATATAAATATGTAAAAGGGCCTTTGAAAGAGTGTTAACTAAATTAATGTTCGAATGGACGAGCTAAAATTTTTTATGTGAACGAACAGGTGGAGTATAGAATGCGTTACCAGCTTATAACACTGAAAGCTCTATTTGAAAACAAAATGAAAATAATAAAATTGAAAACATAATGAATACAATGGAAAGTTTTCAGATTTTATAACTACGCCCAAAGCGGCTTTCTTTAATGTTCTGTGTGTTACCTTTATTTATTAAATATCACGTTCTTCGCACTTAAACCATAAAATTCAATTCAACAGCAATATCACAAATTAATTTAAAAAGAGCATATTTTAGAATTTCTGTTACACAGTCTGGCGCCGTGGAGATAAAAATGTTTTTTTTTTTTTCGTCGTACAGTGTTGCCATTGCCCGCTTTGAGATCGTTGAATTTCTTAATAAAAAACTCATAAATTCTTTACAAAACATTTATGCAGATTCTTCATTATTTAATTTCTTTAAATATAATACAGGGTGATAATATTTGGTAGCGACGATTTGAAAAGTGAAACGCCGTTTATAGTGAAACCCCACAAAATGCCTAAACGAAATTAATAGCCCTTTTGGACTAACACCCTTACGGCTAATAAATGGCAAACTATATATAACCGAAGGTTATATAAGCGATAAAAATCCTCTTACGTGCATTATTACGTAGCTGAGGTGAAAAAAACATAAAGCGGTGCAAGAAATGCCCGAGGTAGAATGTTCAATGCATCAAATAAAGTATAATTAATTGGGCTAAACGATATGCTTTGCTATGCACGAATAACTTAATCATTGTCAAAGAGTATTAAAACCTTATATAATATTTAACAAAAATCACATTTTTGCTATGTCTCCCAGGGGATAAACTAGCCTTCTGAACTTCTGAAAGTTGCTTGAAGTTGGTATTAGAGAAATAGCTAACATTTTTCAAATGGTTGAATTGATTGAACTCTAATATAACTTTAAAAATATATAAAAAGGCACAAATATTTCCTAAAATGCTATATAGAAAAAGTATAATTTATTAAAATTAACCAATGCAGAACATTAAATAAAAATCTTCTTTTCAGGCATTTTCTAGCAAAATGTTTTAGACACGTGGGTATTCAGCCCAAAATTTCCTTTTTGAGTAATCCATACTAATGATACAGTTGCAAAGTGGCACAGTTACTGTAAAAGTTTCATGTTTGAAAAATAATATCCGTCGGACTCAAGAATGTATTTATTTATAATGAATTCAGTTTTAAAATAAATTTTAAGAAATGATTTAAACATTACAATACACTGGCATTCAGATATTGCGTTATTAGATAGCTTCCTTAATACCGAATAATTTTCTGTTCAAACTACTAACATCCTGTAATTATTATGTATTAAAAAAATTCTGTATTGATTCTGTATTAAATTCTGCAGAAATTTTTAAATTGTTTCTAAAACAAGCAAGAATCTAATTTTTTCTCTTAAAATTGCTGATGGAGTAAAATACTTTTATAATTAAAAGTATAATCATCTTTTATCTTTAAAAAGTACGTGATTTTACATAAATTTAAAAATTAACCACTTTCAAGTTAGAAAGAAATAAATTGCTTTTTACCATCGGTAATATCGTCTTTGAATTTCGTTGCTATTATATTAATGAACAGAAACAGAATGCCACTAGAAATATCCATTTTGCACAATTTCATCAAAGAAGACGCAACACAGAATAAATTAAGGAAAAGGAACATTACTTTTGCCATCATCTCAGCTGCGATAAAGGTAATCCAGAGACAGTGCTAGAAATGCAATGATTTTCTTTCAAAAACACTTCAGAAATATTGACAAGCTGTGTAATTTAGTCTTCTTTATATATGGAAGAAGATTAAGAATAATTTACCTTAATTTGCAAATATTCAGCCATGCTACCTGCCACACTTCATGAGGTATTGAGTCTAAACATTCCTCACTCATGCGTGACTCCCAAAAGTCTAATTCTCTGTTTGGGAATAACCGAAGTTTCTGGTAAAATAAATAATGAGTTGGAATAACCAGATTAGTATTTTCACAAGCTAAGTTCCCAGTAACTAAAAAATACCTCTTTTACGAAATCAGTTAATAGCGGAAAGGGAATTCCTTTATGCGTAATAAAGTTCATGTCGATCATGTTTCTTAAATGATTTATATGCACTTTCTAATTCATAATTATCCGTCAAATAATTTGATAAATTACTTTCATTCTGTCTTTTAGCTTCATATTTGTTAGATAAAATGTTTCCTGTTTGCAGATCGTTAGTATATTCATTAATAATGTTTGCAAATGTAAAAAATACGTAAAAGTAGTAGAAAATAAAACTGTTTTTTTTTTTTTCTTTAAATTTTAGCAGGAACGAATCTTGCAAACAAAACAAAAATTGAATTCGATTTAATGATTTTTAATTTTCTCTGATTTTAGCAACGGTTTCCAAACGGTAGAATGCAGGAAAGATGGAAGTAAACATGCTGAGGAACTGAAGAGTTATTTCATCAGATTTACTCATGAAGTTATAAATTTTAAGAAGCGTATTTTATTTGTCGCAAGAGATAAATAAGAAAGGAAATAACAACAGATTAACTAAGTGCTATGTCTACGCGAAATTTTAAGAACTTCCCTTTCTACTAATGTTGATTGTGTCGCAATCAAACTGTCCGACATCTGGGCGATTTACAAAAGGGTTACAAGCTGGCAAGGTTTTCCTCGTTATTATGTAAGTAAAGTTTTTTCGTTCATTTTCAATTCATTAAAGATAATCTTGTATATTCCTTATGTTTATTCAACATGTAAATGTTAAAATATACCATTCTGATTTTTGCCATAGTGTTTGTTCACCATTACATTCAAGACTAGATTTTATTTCATTTTTTTTAAGGAAAGACGAAAATTGTGGATTATTGCTCCGAATATAAGATGACTTTGCGGTTAAAACGGCTGTACACTGCGTAAGATAATTTGAAAGAAAAAACGAGAGCTACCATGTAAACTTTATACATATCAGTATGAAATTTTTAAGAAATCTCGTTGGGCTAAACTAAGTAAATACATTTTTAACATAAAAATAAATAATAAGCTTTATATTATATGTATTTCAGATATTAGGCTACACGTACAAAATAGGTATATTTTTTTGTAAGAATAGCCAAAACAAAAAACATCACATTAGAGCTGACAGATGCATAGACAGAATCTGTATGGTCCTGCTTTAACGTTTAAAATTCTTTGATAATCTCGGAAGCAAATAAAACATCATAAGTTCGTTTCATCCTCTGGAGACCAAATGCTGTTTATTGGAAAGATCCTTGGGACTAGGGCTAATGAATTTACCTGTGAAACTGATTAATTAACATGTGCAATCAGTCTAAAAATTACGGATGTTTTTCGATTCGGCACAAAACCCCAGAGGAAATCGTAAATATGGAATCCCCAATTAATTTCTGACATCTGGTAAACCTATTTATATACGTCTTAAATAATTTGCGACTGAACACAGCAGAATGCATAATAATGCCCAGATAAAAAAATGAACATAAAAAAGAGGATAAAATAGTGTTAGTGAAAGCAGTTCGATAAAGCTAACAAAACTACCATAAATTATTACCATTTATAAACTTTCTTTTGAAATAAAATTCAGCAAGTGAATCTTACAATGAGTATTCTGCCAATCGGCATAAAAAGCACAATCATGTTTCCTAAGTATTATTATTTATATAAAAAGTAAAAAATTATACTTTTCCTTGAATATATTTGTCTATTCAAAATATAAGTTACATGCAATATCGTTACAGGGTTCGCACGGTCCTTAAGAGTCCTTAAAAGTCCTTAAGTTTTTTGGAATCGATTTTTGGTCTTTAAAAGTTCTTAACTTCGGCCAAAATCAGCAGAAAGTCTTTAATTTTAATCATCTGAAATTTTTCTCTTTTTCTACGAATGCCATTTTGAGTGCGAATTAGCATTTTGGAAGAATATTTTTGGCGATTCACTGACAAATATGGTTATCTTTTGAAGGGGTTCTTGGGTTATAACTTGTTCCTATTCCTAATACTCGAGTTTCTGAGCAAGAAGAGAAACATACGCATTTCGATATTATTTCTTTAGTGAAGAGCTCTTAAATAACTTTTCGCTTTTGGGGGGGAAGGGGTGAGTTCTTTTACGAAACGGTTCTAAATTTGGCTTTTGTTCTAAATTTTGTTATTATCAATATTTTGGCGATTTTCAGACTAGTTTTTATAGAAAATGTTTAATTCGAAGATCTGAGAATTTTTCGACGATATTTTTTAAAACATTGCACTATTAATAAGTTTCATTGAAATTATGGTAATATATTGAAATAATATTTAAAATAAAAAATTTTTATTTTTCGCTGTCATATTATAAAGTTCCTTTTTGGCCACTTATTATGCAATATTTTGAATTTGAAAATAAACAAGGTATAATGCTATAAAGCACAATCTACTAAACAGTTCTTAGCAAAAGCAAAATGCTATGCAATTAATTAAAAATATCTTCTTTTCAGTTTTTTTCATGGTAAGAGTTTTTCCCATGTAATTGTCTCAGAATATTCAGAATTCTTAGAATATGCATCAGTTTTTCTATAAATTTAATTTTGCAGTTTTTTGTTTTTATATTTTTTAAAAAATATTTCTGCTATTACATAAATGGTAGGGGTAATTTTTCTTCAGGAAAGGTTTAGAAGGATTTGAAGGCAAGATTTATAGACCCACGATTCTAGAAGATTCCAGAAAAATGTGACAAAATGAAAAATGTCTCCATGGTATTAACATATAATAGATGTATTTTACAGAAAGTTTGCGATGAATTTCTTACATTTTGAAGAACGTCAGGAAGAACAATGAAAACATTATATTTAAATGTTTTACTTCTGATACTAGACAGTTTTTACTAGCCACAGGCATGGAAAATATCAGAAATACTTCTAATCTTATCACATGGACAGGCGTTATAGAAAAGAAATTTTTTATTAATAAAAAAATAAAAAACTGACAATTTAAAATACATCATCTAATATTTCTTAATGTTTCATACACGGGGTTGGCGCTAGGCATTTTCTAACCTGATGTAATCTCTGTGGCTCCTAAATTCTGCTTCCAATGCCTGCTCAAATTCTAAAAGTTTTGATTTTGTTGATCGGTGTGTCATTAAATTCTAAAACTTCTGCCACAGTAGCTCTGAAACCGACCCTTATCATATATGTTTCAAATTTCTTCTGAATGTTCATATTACTAAGGAAATAAAATTAGCATCTTTTTTTATACATTCTAAATGAATTTAGGTTTTTTATAATAACAGAAATCTCTAATTAAATTCCAAAATTCTAAAATGAAAAGGAAACGTATTGAAGAAAGAAACTGAATGTGTAAAGAGAAAGAAAATTATTCTTCAAAAATATGTACAGTTATTATTACTAAATTATCCAGTTGTTTATAATTTCAGCCTGTACTATGATTTTCTATTTCCTCACCAGAATGCAAATCACTTAGACAATTTTGAAGCTGAAGTTTTTGGAGTGCAAGACAGTTTTTGACCTCCGATTGCTCACTGCATAAATTCCTGCAGCTCTGATAATTGTAATTATTCCTCTTTGCACTATCGCTGCTGACATTTGAATTTGTTGTAATGATAAATCTACTCAGTCAGCTTAAATTAAAATTAAATTGTATAGTCTTTGACCACTAGTCCACATTTTTAGTTTGAATTTGACGCTTCGTTTTAATTACATCACCACGAGCTATACTTAGTTTTGTTAGCATAAGAACATGTCTTTATTTTCTAAGTTCGTTTTAAATAAAAGGCTTATTTAAACTTTTGTCTGACATTGTAGTTACTTTCAGACATAGTGATAATTTGCTTCACGTCTGTTGGGGATATTGGACTATTTAACTTTTACCAGATCAAGTAAACCCTCACAGCTACATTGCGGAGAGGTTGACAAGTTAGAAGATAAAGCACGCAGAAACTACTGAGAATACTGTGTGCGTATTGGGGACAAATTTCGGATTGCTAGAAAAGATGCTTAAAGAGAAGGAAATTGATATAAATTAGCCAAACTGTCTGGGAAGGCTTCAAATTAAAAAGGCGCATAAATATTTTATTGAAAGTTGTTGCTACAAAACATAAATGTTTTTTAAACTATTAATGTGTAATTATCCTAATATAATTTAAGAACCAATGATCAGAAATTGCATGTATTTTAAACTGTGAAATTGTATTAGATTATGATTTTAATATGGCGTTTTTAACAAATATTGTCAAAACATAAATAAACTTTAATAGTGGCCATTTAAATCCATAATGACTAAGCTTAGCTAACTACCTACTTTAATTATTTATACCTAACAGCTTAGCCTTAAAAATTATCTCTGCATAGTAAAGCGGATTATTACCTTTCATTAATCCTTACGTTGGTCACAAGATAAAACACAAAAATGGAAACATTCATGTAAAACTTATTCTTCGCATTTAGCGAGACTTGAAATAATACAACTTATATTCTCCGGTGCTTTAGTGTTTATTGGGATCTTAAAGTATATTAACTAGGTTACAACCCTTGGAACTCTACACGAAGCTACGACATTAGCTCCGTCAAACAGAGCCCAACTAACTTTCAAAACTTGCCAACCTTGCCTACATCAAGCCTTTTAGGTTTGTTCTGATCAGCAGGTCTCTTTCTAGAGAAGCAGCAGCAGTAACAACAGCCAGTCCTTTGTTACGGATCATGTTGATTATGATTTTACTTTACATTTAAATCTATGCCGCTTGACGTAAAATCTACCTGCTATTTACTAAACCTCTAGACTGAGCAAGTATGTGACAAAGTGAGACATAAAAAAAATCAACATAAAGCTAAGATACAATAACACGCCAAACAAGTATTAATTTAAAAGTCAAACAATAAAAATCAGTGTTATGCAAAATCTCTTTTGCAGCTGAGGTTGATGATTCGGTAAAACCATCGAAAATAGTCCTGTGAAAATTTGAAAACAAAACGCTAATTTTTGTTGTTTGATTTCTAAATTAATAAAGATAACTGTTAGTGAAACGTAAATTAATGCTACTTATCTTCTTTCAAATATGACCAACTATTATAAGTGTAAAATATTTAATGCTATTTGATAAATTTCATAAAGTTTATTATCTTCTCAAACTTATTAGTAATATGTTAATTGTGTTTAATAATAATACATCCTACTTACGGATCTATTTTATTTTTAGGATGGTATTATAAAAGTGAAGTTCAGTCATGGATAATATTTTTAACTGAATTTATTCAGATCCCATTTGTTTATAGGTCTTTAAGTTTTTTCATTAATGGCCCTTGAAACTATTTAATTTCCGTATGCAGAAATGTGTACGAACCCTGTTTTAATTTATATACATTTTGTTAATTCCTTAATCTTTTAACTTTGAAAAAGCAACGAATAAAACTAAGCGACATTTAATTGAAAATAAATTCTTAAAGTTTAGTTTAAGATTTTACTTCTTTCCTTCCCCTTTTTATTTTCCTACCGAAAATTTTATGAAGAAATTAATCTTCAACAAAATTATGCGGCACGTTAAGAATATTAATTTAATTCGAAATAAAGCACGCCAGTGTTAAAAAAAACTAGGCGAATTATTTGATATATAATTTTCATAAATTTTTATTAATGTGAAGAAAATAAAGTACAGTTTAATGAATTTGTCTGT